GAGGATCCAAGCCCCATATTCTCCAGTGCACTTGTCCTCCAGCAAATATGTGTTTATGTCATTTTTTGGTTTTGTTGAATCAGGGTCTCACTTGCCCAGGCTGAAGTGCAGTGGCACAATCACGGCTCACCGCAACCTCCAGCTCCTAGGCTCCAGTGATTCTACTGTGTCAGCCTCCTGAGTAATTGGGATACAGTTGTGCACCACCATGCTTGGCTAATTTTGTGTGTGTGTGTTTTGTGGAACTGGGATCTGGCTATGTTGCCCAGACTGACCTCCAGCTCCTGGGTTCAAGCAATCCTCTCAGTTTCCCCAAGTGCTGGGCTTACAGATGTGAGCCACCACACCTGGCTTCTAGTAACTCATCTTTGTCTTTCCTGCCTTGGTTCCTGGCTTACCTGCCCTCTAGACCACCAGTTCTGGAGAGCAGAGATTGTACTTTCCCTCTGTGTATTCCTCGCACTGGCCTACAGAGAGTAGGCATTAAAGGCCAACTGCAGTTAGTGGACTCTCTTCCCCACCTCCTTTCATTACCCAAGCATGCTCTCCCTCTTCTGTGAGGCTGATGTTACGTAGTCCCTTGGTCACATCCTCCTTCCACACCAAGACCTTGTGTCCCCAGATCTCATACCCCTCAAATATTGTGTGCTCTTACTTGCAGTGAGACTTTCTCCCTCTGTTCTGCCTCTCGTGCAACTATACCTTGTCCTCTTTCCGAATCCCTGAACCATTTATCTCTGCTATCTTGTGACTTACCATTTTTCCCATAACGTCCATTTTCAGTCTGTATTCTCTGACATGTTTTACATCTGTCCAGGCTGGCAGCTGTCCCCTGCAAAGTTGCAGGGAGGGACCCAGAATAAGCGATGAAGATGTGTCATTGCCACTTTGGTGTGTGTCTTCATGTGTCTTGCTTTGTATATGAGGGCCACTTGAAGCAAGGTACACAGATAGAATCCACTCTGAAGTCTGTCCCTGTGGGCTCAGTATGCTATGTAGTAGCATGCAGTGTGCTGGCAATTTTACCAGGACTTTCAAGGAGTTATGAAGTCGCTGCTGTTATCAGTGGCTTCCAGAGGGAGAACTGCAGCTCTGGTGGTTTGTAGAACAACATGACATGTGTTAGACACTCTCTGGCAACATCTGAAGCATGAGCCTGGTGAGTGGAAGCCTCCGTCCCCGACCTCAGCAGCGCAGGCCTGAAATGTGAAATGTGACTTCAGCATCTGCTTTCTCATTGGCCGACCTGTGTTCTGCTCTTACCTCTTGCAGGTGTTGGTCTCCATGTTGTTTTTAGAGTCTAACCACCAAGGTCATCAGAGCTGTGGGATTCGTTTTAAAGAGTGTCTGATATTGTTGAAGAAGTTCTGGGAATTGGGGTGGAAGAGGAGTCGGCGAGCTCACAGCCAGGCCTGAACTTGAGTGAGCTTGTATTCTTTGTCGTAACTCATGTTAATACCCGTTAAATCTGTAATGCAAGACTAAAGCCCTGTTTACACAAAAATACTATCCACATTATTAGGTATTATACTGTAAATGAACATGGTGCTGTATAATTATTCTGATAGCCTTCTAGTCAGATGACCTGGAAAATCATAAATGATCTTGGTGAACGGTAATGCATGATGATTTCATGGTTCTTATGCCTCCTAGGTAGACGTGTGATACCTGAATCTGGCGGAATTACCCAATGATATGCCTTTTCGTATCAGTAACATGCCTGAGCTATCAGAGTACTTGTTGGCTAGTTGAAACATTGACATTATCAGACAAGGATTTATTCATGCACACATGTATAGTCTCTCTTGCCATCTGGAGAGAGGTAGGATGCTCTTTTTGTTGTATTTAAGTCTTTCTGTATTCAAACCATGAAACCAAAAATATTCATTTTCTAGGTAATACATGGTATGATTCTCATAACTAACGTAATGTCTGTGCAGGGGTCATTAAGCAAATATGATTTTTGCCTCAACAAAGTGGCAGCAAGTTACTCTGCAGGGCAGTGCAGTTGGCTGTGTGGTATGGGTGCCTGTGTGATAGTGAGTGCTTGCATGGCTGTGGGTGGCTGTGTGGTGTAGGTGCTTGTGTGGCTATGAGTAGCTACATGGCAGTGGTTGCCTGCATGGCAGTGGTTGCCTGTGTGTCTGTGGTTGCCTGCGTGGCGTTGGTTGCCTGTGTGGCTATGGTTGCCTGCATGGTGGTGGGTGCTTGTGTGACAGTGGTGGCTGTATCCCCTGTCTTGCTTACATGTAGGTCCTCAGTGAGAGAGAGACTGTGGTACAGAGCCGTTGAGTCTCCGGCTAGTACTCTCCTGCAGCCCACACTACTCCTGAATGTTCCCCAGCATTCAGAAATATGTATTTTGTCTGATGAATGATAGAGTGATGTATTGAACACACTGTTTTTCCTTTCTTTGGGGCATTATTGTAAGCAGGTGACATTCTGGGAATCAGCTGAGTTAACTTGCCTATAAAAATGTGTTTTTAATAAAAATGTGTTCTCGACTGTACACAGTGTCTTGTGCCTGTAATCCAAGCACTTTGGAAGGCCACAGGAGGACTGCTTGTGACCAGTAGTTTGAGATCAACCTGGGCAAAAAAAAGTAGCCAGACTTGGTGGCATGCGCCTATAGTCCTAGCTACTAAGGAAGGTGAAGAGGGAGACTCGCTTAAGTTCAGGAGTTAGAGATTGCAGTGGGCTCTGATTATGCCACTGTATTCCAGTCTGAGAAACAGATTGAGACCCTGTCGCCAAAAAAAAAAAAGGGGGTTCTCTTTAGGATGTTTAGAAGTGACTGAATGTTCTGTGAAACAGATGAAAAGCATTTCGATTTTCTCTCTCTCTCTCTCTCTCTCTCTCTCTCTGTATTCTCCAGAGACTTGAGATATCTCAGTGTATCACTGAAATATTTGTACATTTAAAATACAAAACAGTGTAAAGAAAAAAAAAACACGTCTGGAAAGCTCTTATGGGTCTGCCCACTCTTTGGAAATCAGTGCATCCTTGACCCATCCGGTTCATCCTGGAGCTCAGGTTTGATCATGACCTTCCTTAGAAACTCAGTCATTCCCTTTTCCTAGAGAAAAATGGCCAACGCTTTCCTTGCTTCAGGGCCATCTCCAGTCGTGTGTATGTATCTTTTATTTTAGATTCAGAGATACAAGTACATGTTTGTTATACGGTCATGTTTCATACTGGTGAAGGTTGGGCTTCCAGTGACCCAATCCCCAGTGAACACTGGACTCAGTAGGCAGCTTCTGAACCTTCCTCCCCTCCCCCTGGCACCCCTCGTGGAGTCCCCAATATCTATTACTCCATCTTTATGACCACTGACACTCACATATGAGTGAGAACATGCAGGTTTGGTCTTCGTTTCTGAGTTATTCCACTGAGAATGACCATCTCCAGCTCTACCCATGTTGCTGCAGAGGACATGACCTTGTCCTTCTTCTTGGCTGCATGGTATTCCATAGCATGTAAAATGTGCTATCCCACATTTTCTTTATCCAGCAAGTTGTTGATGGCCACTTGGGTTGGTTCCATGATTTTGCTGTTGTGAACAGTGCTGTGATGGGCATGGGATGTAGGCGTCTTTTGTATATAGGGATTTCTTTTTCTTGTCTAGGAAAAGACCTCCAGGAGTGGGATTGCTGGGTTGGTGTTAATTCTGTCTAGTTCTTTGATAAATCTCCACACTATTTTCCACAGAGTTTGAACTAGATTACCCTCCCATCGACAGGGAATGAGTGCACCCTTTTCTCTGCATCTGTGCCATCTGTTGTTCTTTGTCCCCCCCCCCCCCTTTTTTTGAGTTAGGGTCTCACTCTATCACCCAGACTGGAGTTCAGTGGCATGATGTCAGCACACTGCAGCTTCCATCTCCTGGGTGCAGGCGATCCTCCTGCCTCAGTCTCCCAAGTTGCTGGGACTACAGGCATGTGTCACCATGCCTTGCTAATTTTTTTATTTTTATTTTTTATAGAGGATGAGGTCTCTCTCCATTGCCCAGCCTGGGATTGTTCTTTTTTAATGAAAACCATTCTGATGGTGTAAGATGATACTCCACTGTGGTTAAAATGTGCATGTCTCTGATGATTAGTGATGTTCAGCATTTTTCATGTATGTTGGCTGCTTGTGTGTCTTCATTGGAGACGTGTTCTTTGCCCACTTTGTGAATTTTTTTTCCTGTGGAATTGGGACCCCATATTCCTAACTTCATTTCACGGCATACACTGCATTGTTGAGACAAAGCCAGTTGTTCTCCATCTTCCACAGCCATGCCTGAGCTTTCTCGCCACACGTGTCCTTCTACCCATCCACACCCCCTGCTGTAGACCTGAATCTTACCCAGCCTATAAGGCCCAGCTACATTTCAGTTTCTGCCACCAAGGCTTCTTGGGTTCTCTACCAGGACTCCGCCGTCATCAGCCTGGTCCTTACCTGTGATCTGTCTTTGCCGTATGCTACCGTTTCTAGACTGGTACCATCTGCCTTACCAGATGAGATGTTATGGGGGGTCGCATTTCATGTTTGATTGATCTGTGTCCCCCTGGACTGTATCCATAGTTCCGTTCGCAAGTGGTCTGTAGGTGTCAGTAATGAACGGGTATCACAAGCTGTTGCTACACGGTACAGTTGTGCCCATTAGTGACACAGATGTCCTTTGCTCTTATGCAGTCATATCTCTGTCTAAATTGTCAAAGCTTTAATTATAGAACCCAGTGAGGTGCCTGGAGGGAGGTGGAAGCAGATGTGATATTGGATAAAGCTGCTACTTTTGAAATCATCAAGCATTGACTATGTCTCCTGTAGTAGATCTGTCATGTCTCTTTGGTTCCATGTGTGGTTATTTCAGCCCCCTGTATGTGAACATGAGCACATGTGTACAGGCTGGAATTGTGCTTTGTGGCTGTGACATCTCATTTTTCCCCTAGTGTGTGTTTGCATGTCCCTTCCGCACAGACTGTGATGTCACGTTTCATGTTTGTTTTGTGTTGCAGGTTGATATCTTTCCAAGAGTTCGTGGCCTTCGAGTCTGTCCTGTGTGCCCCTGATGCTTTGTTTATGGTGGCCTTTCAACTGTTTGACAAAACTGGCAAAGGAGAAGTGACTTTCGGTAAGGAGCATGACCATGTGCACATCTGTGTGTGGACCTATGTGAGCTTATTTTTTTTTTCAGGAATGAAAAGGAAGTGTGTGCAGATGCTATAAGAAGTTTGCTTTCAGCAAAGACATCTTGGTTCACATGTCTGCCTGTTTGCAACAGCATGCTTCTGACTCGGTGGATTAGCTACTCTGGTTTAGTGTTAAGGCGGGGCATGTGGCCCAACACTTTTCACAGTCATGGGATGTGAGAACCACACAGGATGCCTGCCCCTTCCCTGAGCTGGTGTGGTGCAACCCATGGCTGCAGGGATACACTGATGATCAGACGTCCTGCCTACGCTCTGGATTTCAAGTCCTAACCTGGTCCTTACAAAGTGGTTTGCAGCTTGAGGGACTGCCCAGAGTAGTAGTTCTGATGGTCCCTGCAGGACCTTGTTCTTCTGAACACTACACCCATCCTGGCTCAGGCTGTGCCTACCGGCTGCTGCCTTCTTTATTTTGAAAGGCAGGAAACTCTTCATGAGGATCAGTTGCAAAGCTGAAGTCTGTTAAGTGCTTGGGAGGCACTCAGTGGTTTCCGAATCTTCCTGTTGCCATGTTTCTTGTCCAGTGCTGCTGGGGGAGCAAGGCATTTCCATTGTGGATTTTTTTTTGTTTTTTTGTTTTTGAGTTGGAGTCTCCCTCCGTCACCCAGGTTGAAATGCAGTAGCATGCTTGTGGCCACCCCAGCGCCGACCTGCTGGGCTCTGGTGATCCTTCTGCCTCAGCCTTCCAAGTAGCCAGAACTACTGGTGTGTGCTACCACAACCGATTAATGTTTAATTATTTTAGAGATGAGATCTTACCATGTTGCCCAGGCTGGTCTTGAACTTGCAGGCTCAGGCACTTCTCTCACCTTGACCTCCCAAAGTGCTGAGATTACAGGCTTGAGCCACTGTGCCCGGCCTCTATTATGGGTTTTAAGAAGGCGTGCACACATGTGTTACAAAGCTCTTGGTCTGAAATCTCTGGCACATGCACATGGTCAGTCTTACAGTGCTAATTTAAGACATACACGATGCCTCTTGCTGATATTTCCCCAGTTGTTGTGTCTGCTGTGGATCCCATTAGTCACCCTGCTCCACAGTGTTGGGGAATTTGAATTCTACTTTTGTCTAGTGGAAATCACCACTGGACCTTCTGAAAATTCAAAGTATGTCCTATGCACTAGCAATTTCTTGGATTAAAATCTAAAGTGTTTGTTTGTATAGAACCATTACACATTTTTCTCTTCCTTTGACTTTTTTATTTTTTTATTACCTTGGGCAAAATTTCATGACATGTTTTGTGTCAAGTTGTATTCTTAGTATATGAATGTAACCACATTTCATAGTCCAAACTTTGGCGGTAATGGTGGTGTGTGTATGTGGGAGAGGGGGACTGTAGTTTTTAATTGAACTTCAAAGACAGGGTTCTCAACTCTGCCTAGGTAAGTATCAGAGAGTCCAAGAATGACTGCAGTTGTCATTTTTTGCCTAAATGAGCATCTCCCCTCCCCAGGATTAGGTTTAAGCAAATTTCAGAGGGGCCAGTGATCTGCCCAAGATAAAAGCCACTTTTTATGGAGAGGAGTTGAACTAGTGGGCATGTGTCTTGTTAAAACTTTTCTGCCACAAATATCAACTATAGGACCGTTTATGAACCACTTGAAAACATAATGATCATCAGTTTTGGACTGTGTGCCTTTTGATTTGGGATATATGAAGAAGTGGAATGTATCAGACACCCGTGTACAATACAAGAGATTATAGAAGACACTTTTCCTGTAACTGAAATAAATGTATAGTAACTACTGAATTATAAAATGTGTGGAAAGACTGCTGGTTGGCTGGCTGGTGAGACTGCCCAAAGAAAATTTGTTCTGATTTTCACAGCGTCCAGGAAGGAGGAAATGGGCTCCAATCCGTGTCGTGCTGGGAGACCCTGACTGGCTTGTGCCACCCTGCCCAGCAGCCTGGATCCCAAGGAAATGAGTCCAGTCTTGTTTTTCATTGAAAACCACAGTGGCCTCTTGTACTTTCATCTTCACTTTGAAAGCTTTTGTGAGTTAGTTACTTTAGAGTAGTGTTTTCTGCTTTTGCTAATAAGTGGTATGTGCAGAAGGACTTCCCTGAGGCTTTTAGTTTACTAAGGCTCTGAGAAGTCCTGCAAAAAAAATAAGTCTATTTAGCTTTGTTTAAGCCAGCATTCAGCATATGGATTTGAACAGGCCTGTGTCTGGTCCATGCCCTACTGAACAAAACTCACATAACTGAGAGGGTTTCTGAGCTGGTTCTGCTAAGTGAGTCCTTCTCTGTGTGTCAATTCTCTGATGTGGTGTTGTTTGGTGGCACCTTCCTGCGTGCCAGTTTGAGTGTGTCCAGGAGCTCATGCACTGACGAACATGATGTCGGTGGATTTGGGACATGGGCAGGCATGATGGCAGAGGAAGCACATGGAACTCCTACCGGCTTGCTTGGATTCAGGTAGTGGAAGATGAAAAGGGCTGAGAGTGTGGGAAAGAGAAGGGCTGAAAGTGAGGCCCACTGTCACATTCAGTATCAGCAACCAGAGGGATGTCAGAGTTGACTGGAAGAGGGTGGACTTCATTTTTAAGCTTGCTGGAGAGGAGTGCCATTTGCTACTCCTTGGTAAAGACTTATGGGATGTGAAATATTAAAAAAGACAACTGGGAGGAAGAGGTTAAGAGTAGGAAGGGACGTGATTTGGGGAACGTTCTCTGTTAATATTGGTTTTTATTTTGGTGTTTCACAAAAATAATGTGTGATTTTGGTTAAAGGAACTTATTGCCCCACCATAGATTTGATTTTTATCTTTCAGGGATGGGAAGGAACCCCAGTATATTTCCTTACACTGATGTTCTAATAGAGAATAAGAATTCTGCGAAGGCATGGCATGAGTTTGAAAGTGAGTCACCTCAATGCGAAGGAGGATGGGAGCACGCCTGGGCACTGAGCATCTTTCCAGAGACCCTAGGGACTGTTCAGAAGCTGTTCCAGTTCATTGGGTCAAAAATCCACTATTTACGAAACACTAAATACGGATTTGCACGATTGACCATAATGGCTTCAATTTTGAAAGATAGTAGTATCAGAGAGCACTTCCAGTTGGTGGGATAATTTGAGAATGGTCTATGCTCAAATGGCTAAAATATTGTACTTTTTTGCTACTGCATGACTCCATTTTAAAAATAAAGAGGGAGAAAAGGCAGGCACAACGTCAGAGAGAAAAATCCTGTAACCACTTGCAGCCCTCCTAGTTAACCATGCCTAAAGATTCACCGCTCCCTGGAGGGCTGTCAGGTCTGGGGAGGCCTGGTGGGGGGCTGCTGTCCCCGAGTTGCACATGTGCCTCCTTGCGTGCTGTGGACACAAGATGGGTGTGCGGAAAGCCAATGAGCAGGAAAAAAGGCACAGGGAGCAGAAAGCTAACCGAAACCCGAAAACCTGGAGCCCTGGGAAATTGGACTATTTTAAACTATACTGCTCACTTAAAAATAGTAAAATTATACCATTATTCTTTCAGTATGAGAGAGAGATAAAAATACAGTTTTTCTAAATTGGAAAATTTGCCGTAATCTTGCTACTAATGACTGATTTCTCCCACAGTTGCAAGGCAGTTTTTGCTCTGATAGGTTGATAAAGGAAACAAAATCAAGAACATGTTGGAAGTTTTCGGAGAAAATTACAGTTTAGGTATATGTTGGGGGTGGGTACTTAGACATTTTAATTGAAATAAAACAGTTTGATACTAATATGGGATCACTGTGGGTGTACATTTGTAGTACATCTGCCCTTGAGGCGTTAAAGTTGGGTTAAACGTATGTTAATTTTTCTGCAAGAAAATTATTTTTGATAACATCTGTCTAAGGAAGCTAGCTTAGGAAATAGGTTTTTTAAACAATATAGATATTATACTTGCATTTAGAGAAGAAATGAGGTTCTTTGTAATGCTTTAGGCAGTGGAGTTTTTCTGTTGTGTTCTTCTCTAACAGCGAGAAAAGTTAACAATGATTAGCACACAACAGATGACTAAAGCAAGCCACACATCTGGAGGCTGACTACAGCCACTCAGGAACTCTGAACACCATTTTAATTGACCCACTTTGAATATCATGAAAGGCTCCCCCTGACTTACCATCCCCAGCTGAACATACTTTTTCCAGCAGATAGATGGAAACCCTCTCGTTTGCCTCCCTGTTTTTGGTTGTTACTGCATGTGATAGACGATGAATAGCTTATGCCAACTATCTGTCGGCCTGGAGCCATTTGTTACCTAACAGTCACAGTGATGACATGAATGGCGTATTCATCCTGAGGATGGATAGCTCCCAGGTTTAGGGTAGGAGGGATTCTTACCAAGCAGGCCGACTGCAGGTTCCCATTGTCACAGCATGGGCGTTGGTGACCCTGCAGACTCCTGGCCCTATCTCAGACCTACTGATTCAGAACTCTTGGGTGTGGGGCTTGGGAACGTATTCCACACAAGCTCTCAAGGGAACGCAGTCCATGCTTCAGTTGAACAATGGCTGGTGTCGTTTATGGCTTTTGTTCAGGGATGAGGGACAGGCCCTGCCTTCTGGCACTGGAAGGACAGTGTTCTTCACTGGGCACCCGGTGACCTGAGCCAGGACAGTCCCATCCCCTTCCATGTTGGGATCCGGAGGCATGTCAGAGCTGCTGAGTCCTCATGTGCACCAGCACCGCAGGTAACTCAACACAGTATCTGGCTCCGTGGGGCTGTGTGTGAACTTGTATTTTGAAAGATACTCATCACACCACACCTCCATGCTCCGAATAATCATTTAAGAAGTTTGCAGGGGCTTGCAGGGAACTGGATTTTAATGTGAAGTGCTTCCGCTCTACCTACTCTGTCTTAATGACCACCATTTCCCCCTAGAAGCTTCTTGCGCAAGTCTGAATTGAAGCAGAACACTTCTTTCCTCTTCAGACCCTTAGCTATGATGAATAT